GTTACTTTGTACTTAAGGCCGGTGGTTTGTGACTCACCCGTTGTACAAGGGGAGTTTAATTCATTCACTGCTGGAAATCTCAAGAGGGTCAAAGTGAAAGGCAAGGTCAGAGCCCGGTAGAAATGATATCTCTCAGGTTAAGAGATTGGGTTTATCCCTGTGACCCCCGCCCAGGTTTAGCCAGGGTCTGCTGAAACATAGACATGTGTAGGAATGTAGTTCCTGCACATATCCTCGGTCAAAAGCCAATAAGCTGTAAGTTTCCGACTTGCTGGTTTCCCCAGTTGGGATCGATTCGTGGGAATGAGGCTGGGGAAAAGAGGGGCATAGAAGTGAAGTTGTTCCAGAGAATGACTAGAAGAGAGGATTCTGAAGCAGTGTTCAATGTATTTATACAAGCCTCTTCCAACTGATTCAGCGGTTTTTTGACATTTCGTAGCCATGGCGTAACCTGCCATCTACATTTCTTCAAAGCCGTTTATCAGCGTGGCTTTGCAACAAGTGCTAGTGGCTTTCTTGCAGCTGGCAATTTCGTGGTGGAGCAGTCGTCCTAGTGTAAGACGACTACCTCTTTGTCTTTCTTTTTGAACATTTTTCTCAGTGGAAGCAGATGTTGGGGGGACTGCTGACAGCATCAGAAGTCAAACCCATCTGGAAATGGACAGCCACTGCAGCTGTCGCACTGCTGCTGCTCCCAGGGCAGATGTATCGGCGTTATTGATAAGGCTATTGTTCAAGGGAAAGCTGTAACTGATAATGGGTTGTGAACGGCGAGCCGAGCCGATTTGAATGTGTCAAAGTGTTTCTTATAGCCATGTGGGCAAAGGTGTTCGCGGGGAAGTCGCCTTCAATAATTGCTGGGCCAAATATTCGGGAATTTCTTGTTAATCGTAAAAAAAGAGTCAATCGGTGGTCTCTGGTGTTGATCAGTCCTATCCCAAGATGCGCCCTCCAGTCAACTCTCATTTAGAATCGTAATGGCGTTGGGACGTCGTACCGGACCAAACCAAATCAAATTACTGTTTTCACTCTTCCCAATGAATCCGGTGCCAGATTAAATGCGTCCGGTACCAGGTTACCCACTCGGAAGGGATGAAATGCCCGGCTTGCCGAGGGACGTATCGATCCAGGATTATAGTACGTGTGGTGGAAGTTCCACTTGGCACTAAACCATACCGACCTGGTAGCAATGTTGGACGAAATTTTGAAGCAAACTGGAGAATGAAATGTTGGAAGAGCGGTGGTGGATAGGACAGGAATGACTACAACTCTGAAAAGGCTGGTCGCTGTATGAACTGTTTGGTATACGTTAGAGCCATCGATGTTCCAAGCGGTTGGTGGTGAAGCCACGAAAACAAGAAAATAATGGCTTATCTCATTGCTCCCATTCACACCCAAAAAGCATCCTAACCAGTTCATCCCCATGAGTTTTGGAGGTGTATCGAAAGTGTACTGTCCCGAGAAAATATGTAAGATATGAAATTCAAACCCGACAACAATCAATAAAATTGTCAATCAATAAATACAATACTGTTACTAACTCGTGGTCAAAGTGAGAAAAATCAAAATCGAAGTGAGTTTCAGCGAAAAAACGACAGGAATTCGATCGCTCGGAAAATATTTCGACGTTCCGTTCACGACGTGGACGGATGGCCGACGATTTCCGTTCGCCATTTGACATTTTCCGCGAATTCTTCGGTAATCGTGATCCATTCCAGGTTTGTCCCTTCTCTGCCTACGTATGGCCATTTAAAATACTCTACAATTGTTTTTAAATGATTTCAATCACATATTAATACATCTTTTAATTCAAGAATTTGGTCAAATTGTTAAAAAGCGTTCCTAAAAAAAATTCGGGAAGATTGTAGGCCCTATGAGATGGATTTTCAGGCAAGCCTGTTGGTAAGCTGGGTTAAGGTCTAAGATTGCAGTGTATCCAATCAGATGGTTTATAAGAGAACAACTTTACATCTGGCCAGGCCATTTAGTAAAACTATTAATAAAAAAAAAGAAAAAGGAGTGTTACGATTAGTTGCTAACTTCTCTTCCATTTGAGCTTATTGATACAAGCTATTAGTCGCATTACCGTATCGATCGATTCTTCGCAAGACACACTACAGCGTGTTTGTCGTCAACTTAGCTTCCAAATTTGTTGTGATGTTTGTTTTGTATCGTTACTCCGTTACGCTACTTGATTCGATCATTTCCACGGGACACAAAGCAATTTTTGATGCCACTACATTGAGCTCAATAGGAAAACATGCGTATTTATTTAGAAATCACACTTGACGAACAGGATTGGAAAGTTTTCTCGAGGGTGAAAGCAGGCTTTTGGCGGGGTACAGACTGGAGAGGGGCAATACCAGTTCCTCGTTGACAACAAAGCAACCAAAGATGATTCGCAACTACTCAAGGGGCGTCATTGAGATGCATTTGAATAAAAGGGGAATGTCTAACTGGTAAACACTATTACTGTATCAGGAAGTCGTACAGGAAACAACTGGCAGACCATTCAACTCAAGTGTTCACTACTAAAACATCGCCAAAAGAGCTTGTGAGCATGAGAATAGGTTATTTATTACTGTAAGAAGGAATCCTCTTCAAGTTTCACTGATAGAAGACCTAAAAAGATTACTGTATCAAGTAATCCCACTAAAGCGATTTTTCAGAAAAGCTTGTCGAAATGGAAATTAATTAATTACTGTATCAGAAAATCCTCCAGGGTTCAATTTGTAGGCCATGTAACTTCCATTAAGTAGAACAGTTGTAACATGGCGGTGATATAATTCCCTATTGCTCTACTTTACTATTGCATTATATTCTCTAATTATAGCTTATAGTAATAATTTATAATTAAAATTAAACGATAGAGCAAAAATTTATCCCTAAAATCGTCCTTCTTTAGGATATCTTCTTCGATGACTCTTTCGCGTTCCCGTCGGATTCATTTCTTTTCAAGAGTGAGTTTACTTTCTCTACAGGAACTTATTCTGGCCCATAGCTTCTTAGCTGGTCCACTGCATAAGTGTTTTGGCCCTAATCCTCTTTTTATTTCATTGTATCTGCCTTTCAAAATTTTCATACTATTCTATTTGCCTTCAATTTTAATTATTTTTATCATATAATTATGCCTGGCTCATTGAAACCCGTTATCAGCTTGTTCTAACGAGAAGCCTTTTTCTGTGAAGGCTTTTCCTTCAAGTCGAATTATCAAGACAAAAATTTGCAGTCTTTTTCAAATTTAGCGTCTTCAATCATCTTCTCGGCATGCTTCCCTTCTTTTTGGCCGTCTGATGCGCTTTTATTGCCTCATCAAGAAAGACTGATTGCTTGGCAATCAGTAAGGGAGGGAGAGAGATTGCTTTTGATGCCAGACGCTCCTCCGTAAGAAAGCAAAAATCAGGGAACAAGTCACCCAACTTGAAGAAGATTCATTTGCTTTAGAAAGAAGCTATGAGAGGGATTTATTTGATTAACAAGTTTGGGTTTCATTCTGAACTGTACTGAACTGTATTCAGGGGAAATTCATCTACCATTTCGGCAAATCTATAGCCCGTCATTCCCTTCCATTACTTTTCCTTTTCTCTTTTTCCAAAAAAAAAGGAGCAAAACTCCAGTAAAACAATTTTCTTCTTTTTTTTCTGCCTGTAGGCCGGGTATTTATGCCTCAAATGACGACTATCGGTCAAGCTTCGACCCTCGCACCGAAAATGTGGTAACGCTCCGCTTTTGGATACCCAAACCCCACTCTGAAGAATTACAATATGAGCATGATAAATTGGTCAGAATGGGATGGGGTAGATGCTGAGTGGTGTTCAACACATGCTACTACCCTCCCAGGTAGGTCGGTGATACCGAAGCGATGGCAAGTAGAAGACTTGCACGAATGGTCTGGGTGGATATCGATCCAACCATAAGTTTTGATCCAATCCTGCATATTGTTCTATCTTTCAAAACACTAGTTTACCTACCGGTAGGAACTGTTAAACAGGACTTGAGGTAACCGTAGAACTCCACTTCTTCTCTGGAAAACGACGCAATTGCCCTTTACGGCGTTTTTGCTTCCATCGGTTCCTGTTGCGAATGCTTTACGATGGTTATAATATTTGTTTATTTATCTTTTGTATGCACGCGTGTGCAAAGGCCTGCCAAAGCCAACAATATATGAATCCGACACTGACTACAAAATAAACATTGATCGTACGGGAAGCGCAGAGGCTTCTCCGCCGATGGTCGTGGAGGGACTGAATCTGAGAAAGTGTCAATTACGCAGAACAGGCAGCGGCTAGGAGGGGTGGGGACGGGAAAATCACTTTTCTATTTCGACTAAACTCTCACTAAAATCATTATTCTTTCATTCCATTACGGTACCTTGAATCCTTTTAAGTGTAAGATTGAATGCGTATTATGCCAAGTGATATTATGTTTCGCTCGACTGTGAATGAAATGAATTTTCCATTGAAAAAGCAGGGGACACAGATGGGATGGAGAGTGTTTCACCGAAGAGTTCAAACATCTCGGTCCAATTGAAGAAATGCACGAAAGTTTTGAAGAAACGTTTGTAACTATGATTACGAAAACCAGTTGCCTACTCTCAGTTCTTGCAGTAACAGGCACCACAAGAGCGGATCCATTGGCTGCATGGGCAGTCATTGGGTAAGGGGATCTCTGGAAAACCCCTGGAAACTCGTCCTACTAGGACCTTAAATAAGTGGAATTCGAAAGTAGTGGATGGAGTTTCCACACCAAGCGTTTTCTGGAAGGTTATAAGCGAAATTCATAAGCTCGTCCATATTCTCCGATCTCCTTACCCTTTATCTATTATCTGTACCATTTATCTTCATTATACATTTGTATATAAATGTACCTCTGTACATTATGTATAAGCTATGTCTCCTTTCTCTCCTCCTCATTTGTCTCGAAGTTCGGTAACGCTTGAAGAGATATGTGGACATAGGATCAAGTCTGAAATGAGGTGAACAACTGGATAGGTCAAGATCTCGAGCTAAGCAAGGCCCTCCTACTGTGGGCGGGGTATGCGACGAAATGGTTGACGCCCAGTCAGAATCGATAGCTTCGGTCACGGAATCCGAAAAAATGGGTTATTCGAAGTAGCGCTTCATTGGATTTGATGGAAACTTACATAGGTGGACAAGAGAGAAAGAGCCTTGGTTGAACAAAGCTTACGTCAGAAATCCATGACTCTGTCCTAACCATCCTACAGACCAAAAGAAAAATTGGTAGGCATAGGTAACACCCAAAAGGATTCAGAATAACTAAGGTGAACACAGCTTCCGTGTTGGGTGGAGCGATCCCTAATTGGATGCTGCTTCCTGCAAAACTCACGGATCTGTTCCAGGTTTTTGTAGAGACCAGGAAAGAAGTAAGCATAGACCAGCGAAGAAAGAAAGGTCCAAAACTCGTCATAGAAAAGGCTCGCACCGAGGTGGGCTAGAATCGCTAAATTCAAAACCTCTCTCAAACATAAACAAAAAGCATAAACAAAAACAAAAACATACTGACTAAATTATTGACTTTTGGATACACTACCGGGAGCGAATGGGCTAAATCATTCAGTTGAAAGGATAAAAGATGAAGCTTCACTGATATCGTACACGGCTATCGATTGGGGGTGTGTTAACTTTTTCCCGAACATCACGTCTACCGCTGCCTCTTGCCGCGGGGGAATCGGGGAGAAGTACCCACCAATGATAGTCCTCGGCTCGTTGACCCTCTAGTGTTAGTGCACGACTGCCCAACTACTTGAAACCCGTTACAACTACATTTATTTATATTTATCTTGATTGAG